GAAAAGAAGATATTTCCCTATTGGGTAATAGATACCATTCACATATTAACAATTCTCACATGTAAACATAACCAAATTTCAAGTGCTTCAGATTCAGTTACATTGATATCACTTCAAACTTACTCTTTACTGGCAAATATTAAGAGAGAAGTAAATTTTCTTACAGATTAAGCTTAAACTCTTATGTGGCCCGTCTTCTCACCAAAAAGTTTCTACTATTACATTCACTGCCCTGTTCGGTCCAGGCAGATGGATCTCTACATACTTTTGACATTGGTACTGATCTTTGGAACAATGTCCAGATAGACAACTACATGTTCCTTACCTGGGGTTTTAACTTCTAAATGGAAATGCAGAATAACAAGAAATTGGAAAAGCTTTGCCTGTATTTGACTAGAGGATTAAGGTGGATGGAAGATGCATTGTATCTCTGCTGTGAGGAAAGACTCCTGAGTGTCCATACTGGAAAAAAATTGTCCTCCCAGAAAATGACCTGGGCATATCAACACGCAGGCACAGAATATTGACATTACTAAAACAAAGTAGTGAAGGGAAGTTGCTCAATTGTACTGAAATTTCAGTATTATTGATCTTTTATTATTTGAATACAAGCCTTTGAAGTGGTTCCTGAAGTTCAGGACAAAACTATAATGAAAAAATAACAAAGTCCATTTACAAAAACCTTTGCTATGTAGAAAATGAAAGACCAGAAATACATCAAGAGAGCTTTCTCAGTGATTTTTTCCCTTTGGTTTATCAAGACAGCACCCCATTCTGTATGCCAAGCTAGCCTCCAACTCATGAAAATTCTCCAGCCATGAGTTCAGGGTTCATGAGTTCAGTCATAAAGAACCATGCCCAGATTCTCCTGATGAATTCTTATAAATATTTAAAGAAGAATTTGAACAAGTGCTTTCCAAAGTCTTGCAAAAGCACAACAAAAAATCAGAGATCAAACTTATTCTACAAAATAAAGATTATCCTAATACCAGTCCAGACTCACAAGGAAGAGAGAAAGCAATAAAGAAAGGAAAGATGAAAGAAAGAAGACAGGAAGGAAGGAAGGAAGGAGGGATGGAGGGGAGAGGGAGAGAGGGAGGGAGGGAGGAAGGAAGGAAGGAAGGAAGGAAGGAAATGAGGAAGGAAGGAAAGAAGGAAGGAAAGAAGGAAGGAAAGAAGGAAGGAAAGAAGGAAGGAAAGAAGGAAGGAAAGAAGGAAGGAAAGAAGGAAGGAAAGAAGGAAGGAAAGAAGGAAGGAAAGAAGGAAGGAAAGAAGGAAGGAAAGAAGGAAGGAAAGAAGGAAGGAAAGAAGGAAGGAAAGAAGAAGGAAAGAAGGGATAAGGAAGGAAGACAGGAAGGAAGGAAGGATGGAGGGAGGGAAGGAGGGAGAGAAGGAGGGAAGGAGGGAGGGAGAAAGGAAGGAAGGAAGGAAGGAAGAAGGAAGGGGGTAGGGAGGAAAGAAGGATGGAAGGAAGGAAGGAGGAAAGAAAGAAGGAAGGAAAGAAGAAGGAAAGAAGGGATAAGGAAGGAAGACAGGAAGGAAGGAAGAAGGAAGGGGGTAGGGAGGAAGGGAGGATGGAAGGAAGGAAGGAAGAAGGAAAGAAGGGAGAAGGAAGGAAGACAGGAAGGAAGGAAGTAAGGAAGGAAGGAAGAAAGGAATGAAGGAAGGAAGGAAGAAGGAAGGGGTAAGGAGGAAGGAAGGATGGAAAGAAGGAAGACAGGAAGGAAGAAGGAAAAAAGGAAGGAAGAAGGAAAGAAGGGAGAAGGAAGGAAGACAGGAAGGATGGAAGGAAGGAAGGAAGACAGGAAGGATGGAAGGAAGGAAGGAAGGAAGGAAGGAAGGAGAAATAAAACAATAGAGTACTATCTTTTAAGAATCGTGATGCAAAAGTCCTCAACAAACTACTAATGCAACAATGTAAGGAGAGCATAAAAAGAATTAAAGAGAACTGTAAGATTGATTAGCAGAGTTAAAGATGCTTCAGATTTCAAAGTTGAAATAGCACACCATATTGGCAGAATGAGGAGAAAATAACACATGGTCTTGTCAGATGATACAGAAAACTATTTAAATGTATTATAAGTATTTTCTTGTAGTTTTAAAGATTCACATGCATGCACATTAATAATCATGGTTTTTTGGAGTACTGACCCCTTTCTTGTTATATCATATCCATATCCATTTATATTTTTCCTTACTCTGCTGTCTATATTAATATAACTACATTAAATTTTGAACTAACGTTACATTTGTTGTCTTGTTGCT